AGAATTTGGAGGATACTCAAAGAACACCTGTACCCCTTTCAGGACCAGAAAGTTCAGTTATTGAAACCAACAGACTTACAACGTAGGCAAAACTTTTGTGAGTAGGTTAATAGAAAAATAAACGAACAAGCAAATTTTGTACCATCAACTGATGAGGCCGGATACACGAGGGAAGGTGTAATCAACACCCACATTTGCAACACTTTCAATTTCTCTCTAAATGTGTGTCATGCCTACATGATTAGAAAAATACGGATCCTAGTAACTGTTTTTGACCATAAATTATTAATTATAATAATTATTAGCGTCCATGGGTGACTGAGGATCCATGGGCGCGTAACCTTGATTGGGATAAAACTTTAACAATTTTTAACTTAATAATTAAAAAATTTCTGACAAAATCCTATTAAAAAAAGTTGTTGATTAAAATTAATGTACTTATTTCTGAGACACCCTGTATACACAAAAATTTCAGGTGCAGCACTAAACTGGAAGGCACTTTCAAAAAAATATATATTTTCTAACTGTATATTTAACAAAATCATAGAAATACAAACAGCTGGGTCTGAGGACCCAGCGCGATCGCGCGAAGGGAAAACTGAAAGTGTTCAGTGTATTAAGATATTAAAATGCGTATTTTTTTTCATTTTAATTGGCATATTTCAACTTTTGTGAGACAATTCCCGAAACATAAAAAATGTAAAGTAAAATATAAATAATGATTCCTAATAAAATTTTTTAATAAGAACTTTTTCCGAGCTTCCAGAAGTGGAAAATAAAAGATTTTTCATTGTCTTGAAATATGAGTTTCATAACCTAATTTGATATGAAACTCATATGATTGTTAGTAAGTATATGATATTTAATTGGTATGATATTTTTCTTGTTGTAGATATTTTCATAAGTATAAGAAAATTATTGCTAAAATTACCATTTGTTCTAATTTTAGTAATATACAAGACGATAAAAGTAGAAATAAATTTCATCGTAAGGTTTTTAGACTTCAAATTCTAATAATAATTATAAAATGTAAACCCATATTATATTTTATTGGTTACATGTACTATATAAAAGAGTGTGAGTTTTTTTAAATATAAAATCAACTTCAGTTGCTGTTCAGATTAGGTAGGTAGGTACGTAGGTACTGTGGTTTTAAAAATTATTGTCTATTGGGCGATAAGTTCATAATTGTCGATTTCATATTTAGAGTGGCGATTGCAAAATTATAATCGTTGCGTTTATATAATATTTACATATAAATTTATCAGAATCGAAAATTGGAAACTAATTAAAACTATTGAATATATTTAATTAATCCTTTTAAATTAAATTTTTCAACAATACTTGAAACAATTAGCTACAGACACATTTGTCGTTGTTACTTAGTTTACACGCCTATAGAATTTCCATCGTTGTTGAAAATCAATGTTCAAATCGTGTTTAGTTGAAAAGGTGGTCATATAACCTTAGATAAATTTTGCGATATTGTATTTATAAAAATTCTACTACTAAAACTAACTAAAAAATAACTGGCTCCCTTTATAAAACACAAAATGTTTAGTTATATATTTGGTGAAATTGGATTTACTAAGATTAAGTAAATTTGCGATGGTAAAACTTTAGTTGGTAGATTTTTCACAGCATAAAATTTGTTTCTTCTGCAGCTTTAATCCACCAGTTGACATTAAACATTCTACCGTATGATCCAAGCGTTTTCATGAAGGCAGTTTATCATCAGTGCAAGTAGGGCATTGCCTATAGATAGAGAGTTAATATAGGGAGCTAATGTTTCTTGCAAAGAAATAGGGTAAGCTTCCGTATATTAGTTACAGCCCCCCTTTATGAAAAGTATTTTGGATAATATGGTACGTCTTAACTTTGAGACACAGATCAGTATGGTACTTATGGAAAACATATTTTACGACATTATTAAAATAACATTAATAATTTCTTTTCATATTTAAAGGGTCAACAGACAAGACAATCCTACGCAATCGATGCAGTAAAGAATTCTAACATTATAAGTATTCTAAGGGTATATTCTTCCACAATATGTTCCTTTGCAGATAAATGGGTAGAATATAATGTAAAATAAATTGTACCTACCCATGTTTAATTGACAAAATTATGTGATTTTTTGAAGAACTTTTCTTTTACGTTTATTATGTAGGTATATTCTCTGTGGATAATAATCAATATTTTGTTAAGTATTTTTGTGGGATTAGTAAAAAGTAATTTTAAGTAAATATATATTATGTAGATGTATTACTATCGCATTTTTATTGTTTATAATCTGAAAAGCTTCTTAACTGAATAATTTAACTTTTCAATCTACAAATAAATGTGGTAAAGTGGTAAAGTTTTGTTGTATCAAAATGTAGAAGGAAAACAATCATCGGATTGTGAGTATTGATAATATCCATGTATAACGTTATTATAAGAAGAGTTTTTCAACTACGTAAATGTCTAATATTTGTTGCAGCTATTATTTGTGAACAGTTTGAAAGCAAGATTAGACAATGTTTATAAAAGACGAACCCTATCATATTAATAATAACAGAAATATACCATCTATACCATAGCTTTAATTTTATATAGGAATTCTAAATTTATTTGCAAATTTCATAAGCATTATTTATTTATCAATTACTATAGGGAACTGAAGTAGTGTGATATTCTGGAATATTCTCAGATAAATGTTTGTTTTTAATTAAACTGTATAGTTTAACCGTCATTACAATTTGATTAAAATGAACTGTATCAGAGAGGATGGTAGTTAAAGTCGATTATTTTGCTGATTATTTTTTCAATCGGTCACTTTTTTATGGGCACTATAGTGTAATAACAAAGTAATTTTCAAATAAGTTAATGTCGGTTCCATAATACTTTATTAGTAGAATACAAAGCTTCTGATATGTACTTAATCATAATCAAACTTAGTTAAGTACATGGTAGAAGGAAACATGGTATAGGCATCCGATGTACCAATTTAAAAATGGTCTGCGCATCCATTTGTGACGTTAGGTGGCATCAACGACCTTGTGACTCTTGTGAGCTTCGCTAGGGAAGTCTAGGGAATTTCAGCTTGAGTTGTCAGTGCTCTGTCCAATACGTCAATTAGTTGTCGGATAACGAATTGTATTTTAAATTTCGCGCTAATTTCACCCCACTTGACGTCACACCCGATGCGTATGCCTATTGACCCTTTTCCTGTAAGCAAAGTGAGTAGACATTGTATAAATTCCAATGACACAGAGTGAGACAACATCGCGCAGGCGAAGTCAGATTTTTGGAGCGCCAAGTTTAAATTAAGCAATGAGCGACAGATTACGCGTGTGTAGCCGGTTGCATTCTGTCAAAGCGGTTTATTGTCACAGGCCTTTGCTCTGCTGCCGGAGTGCCGGATACAATTTCCAACGTGGTTTTGAAGATGCGTGCGCACGAAAAGTCACTATGGAAGTTTTACGATCTTACAGGAAAAGGGTCAATACCATGTCTCCTTCTACCATGGTTAAGTATACACTTGTTGATGAAATAAAATAATACACAGAGTGATTATGACCGAGGTTGCCACATTTTCAAACATCAGAAAATGGTCAAAAGTGTCAAATTTGCATCAGTAGCTGGTCATTACGATTAACTGAAAATAAACTATCACTTCTATTCGCAAAACGTCGTTTTGGAAGACATCTTCGCTCTTTCGCTTTACACATTTGGTTATTCATAAATCGTTTTAAAACCATAGGTTTTTAATTACGACAACCAAAATGTGGCATAGAAGAAAACATTACTAATACTGTTGGATGCACTTGATCTTGGTAGTAGTTTTTTATCAATTTTGAACACACGATTTGTTTTTCACAACAGATGAGTAGTTAAGTTTGCATGATTTGCAGTAAAATATATATCTACTCTTGTAGTGAAGACATTCATTAAACCATTAATCTGCATACTATCTAATGTACTTATTTTTTTAAATCTAATCCTTTAGAACATGCTGTCATGATTTTATTACCTTTTTCTTTTAATTTTAAATATGTGTATATTGAAGTGAGCAGCAATTGCAAGGTGAACATGAAAAGGATATAAATTACTAAAATATATATAATAGGTAATAAATGGTATTAATATAGCAAATACTATGTAATAATAACGGACGAAACAAATTTCTACTTATGTCAATTCAAATACTGAGGAGTAATTTTTAAGCCAATTTTTATTTATACAACTTCTACCAAAATGTTTTTTCTACAGTAATAAATACCTATTGTCTCACTGTAGTTATCCCGACAAACTGCTCGTCACATATTTTAAAAAAGTATTTTGGAAAGATTGAGTGAAATTTTTAAACATATTTTCTAATTGTGTCGAATTCTTAGAAAATACGTATTGCTTGGTGAAGGAAGTCCGAAAGTTACAAACATCAGTATTTAACTTTTAATTCAATGTCGTCGATATTTTGTTTTTTTCAAAATTATATTGAGTTATCTTTAATAAAGTCTACAAGAAACCATTCTGGAGTACTTAGTTATTAAATGTATGTCTTTAATATCACTTAACATTACAAAACGTGGGAAAGATACCATTTTTCAATAGAGAGTTAAATAACCAGTAGGTAAGGTAATTTTACGATAATAATATGTTTCTTGAAAATTTAGTAACGTTTTTAAGATATACCGTAGAATTCGTCATGTTTGAATAGCAACATACTTGTATTTCATCACAAGTTTAGTTTAAAAATACTCTAAATTAACACTATCACACTATTTCGTGCGTTTCATAATTATTACATAATAATTACGAAACAATATTAAAAGTGCTAATATGTAGATATATAATAAAATTTTCTACAAAATGTGCAGCATCAAGAAAATTTTATCTTCAAAACATTTTTAAATTCATATTTTTTTTTTGTAAGGAAAACTCAAGAAAAGTTGTAATAAAGTTTTAAATTTACAAATAATAGCTAAACGTTTACCAACAAAAATGAAGTTATTATGTAAAAGAGAGATTCCGGATGTTTGTACCTACTGTGGTTAACATAATAAACTAATAATGGATGCTAAGTGATGTTTTTTTTCAATAGCTAATTGCTTTTTGTGAAATTCCTGTTCTCAATTTTTGTGCAAATGACCCTATAATTAAGTATTTTGTAGAGAAACTGGTAGTTATTACAACACCATTTAAACTTATTAATTTGAAAGGCTCGTATCAAAATGCAAATGCATAAGCTTATCGCATCTAGAAATCGCGTTCCATTTTCTTAAAGTTAATAAAGAGTTTTGAGTCCATATTTATATAGCTACTTGTTTAATTTTAACAAGAAATTTTTTAGAAAGCGTCCAAACGTAAAGATTCACAAAAAACATTTTCATCACATAATTCAGATCAAAATCTCACCATAAGATTTTTGTTTATTTCATACTTGCACAGGACTATGAGCTGTCTTTTTGTCTTTTTTTTTAGTTGAAAAAGTTTCAGTCGTACACTTTGGACCTTCATCTGGGCTGTAACTCCATCTAACTTTCTCCTTGTAAGGTTTCTCTTCAGGGGTTTTGATTTTACGAGTTTTGACAAACTCGGTAACTTTTTGTCACTGAATTTCGCAAAAAGGAAGTTTTTGGCTGTCTTTAGTTTCTGTATCTGCATTGCTAACGTCGTCTTCTTTCGGACTCTCAGTGTTACTCGTGCCTCCCTGACCACTGAAATTGGACACAATTTAAATTATCGTGTGTTTTAGGAAATGAAATTACCCAATGGAACCAGGGGGGCACATTGATTGTCATCTAAGCGCCAGAGTTGACACCATTGGTGGCCTAGTCGGTTTGTTTTCTAAAATACGCTCTATTTCTGCTACCATATTGGTGTTTAATTTAGGTACAAGCTAAAATAATACAATGAATATCAAAATAGTCAACAAATTACTTGATAAAAACCTGTAAAGATTGTATGCTGTCATACAACTGCATTACTGTGCTTGCTCCTAGAAGTAAACATTGTACAGATTCATTTTTTAAACACCATGCTATGGCTAGTTGGGACAACGAACAACCCAACTTTTCTGCTACAGCATTCAGTTCTCTAATTCTTTCAGATTGTCGGCGTGTCTCTTCCGGTTGGATTCTATCTTTCATCCAGTTGTATCCATCTTTATTAGCTGTCGCAGTTTCATCTTCAGTCCATGAGAATGAACTGTACTTATTTCGAAAACTAGATCTAGAGAACAACTGCACGCTGCCTTCTTCTTTTCCTTGAGACAGTCCCATCGATATCGGTGACCAAGCCATCAAACCTATTAAAAATTTATAAAATCATTTATGATTTTAATGTTCAGCATTTTCAAAAATTTGAATGAACTTTTTTATATATTAACGATGATTAGCTTCAATAGTTTGTTGCGAGCTGTACAAAAGAAATTCTGTAAATATAAACTTAAATCTATGTTTATATTTCAAAACATTTAGAAGATAGTTGATTATATCCAAATTTAAATAATTTTAGTTTACTGTTTTGATAAAAGCAAACTAAGTAAAGTAGCAACGTTTCATTTGTGTGCAATAAAATTTTATGATGGTTTGATTCAGTTTACTCCATACCCACCATAAATTCCAATTTTAAAACCGGCCAGATAGAAGACTAGTAATCTGAGCGGTTCTTAGCGCATCTTAGCTACCCTTCTTCTGGTTGAATAAAGTCGACACGTGCCAAGCCGGTGGGATACTCAGTTGGTAAACAGCTTAGCCAACCCCTCGAAATGACATTATAAAATTTTATTGTACATAAATGAAACGTTGGTACTATACATCGCGCATCGTACGGAAATATAGTAACAATAGCAACACCAAATTCGAAAATAATACTTAGGAGTATTTTTTTATAACAAGAATTTTTTAAGTAGTACCTACATTTACCGTTTGTGCAACATATATGCATCTCCAACTATGAATGACGTACCTATCTATCATTGTGAAAAAACTGTTCGAGATTCCGAGTTAGGAAATGTATTTTTTTGCACAGTTTACAAATACACATTACATTTTGCCGATGATATGTCTAAAGTAAATACATACCAACACCAATTTTGTTGTACAATTCAGGCATATACAGTTCTGTCTTTTCTCTGCAAAACATGTGATATTCTGTTTGCTCGACTATAGGTGTAACGCAGTTAAATTGACGACAGTTAGTATACGCTTCCATCACTTCAACGGGGGACCACCTCGCTGTTCCCCAATACATAACCCATCCCTGAGATATTACATAATGCATTGCTCTTACCACTTCTACAAAATGTATTTTATTCGACGCCTTTGATTTTTCTTTTTTTTACCTTCCATGGGACACATCGGATCTGCTTTATGAACTATTACCACATCAATGTAAGATAACTGAAGCCTTACCAAACTAGCTTTAACACTTTCAATTATATGCTTTCGTGATAGTCCCCGTTCTTCGGACCTACAATATAAATTAATCCAATTTGTTTATTTCTTTGAAACAAAATTTACCGCGTACTCCAATAAATCTTTGTAGTTACAATGTAGCAAGTTCTCTTCCATCCTCTTCGAGCTAAAATTCTTCCCAGTTCAACTTCGGCCCTAGTTCCTAAAATGAAAATGAAATATTTTAAGGCTTTCCAGTATTTCCCAAAAAAAGTAGGAGTTCACCTGAATGGGCTTCAGACAAATCGAAAACGTTAATTCCACTTTCGACGGCAAGAACAATAATCTGTTCGGCTTGTTCTTCAGTGACATTGGGACCAAATGTAGGCCAAGTACCTAACCCAATATTAGAAACTCTTAAACCACTTTTCCCTAAATTGCGATATCTTAGACCAGGAGCTACTGTCGTTTGTTTTCCAAGCTGCAGAGGAGCATTTGGTGCTGAATGTGTAAGTCCACTCAATAATAACTGTTCTTTGGTTATGCCCCCTTCACCTGAACGTTCCGTTAGTGCACTGAGTGCGCTTCCAGCACTGAATTCTTCCATGCAGTCCAAGCTTGCTATCGGTGCTCTACACCTAAAATATTTTATTTTAGTCATTTATTATTACTTAACATATCATTCACAGGTCATCTCAGTTGTTACGGGTGTTTCACTAAGAGAATATTTGACTAATAATTTGATTTTAATAATAAGGAATGGAACATGCATTCTATTAGAATAGGATGCTCTTTTAATCCGTCAAAATTTAATAGTAAAATGTGAATATTCCTTTACAGTTACAATGATCGTTGCAGTTCAAACTTGACACCCTTTACTGAGACACTAAAAAAAAAATTGTAGGAAAAACGGCCTAGTAGGCAGGATTCTACCTATATGATACTCTGTAGCACAAAGCAGTATAAATGAAAATGCCAGCCTCATACCAGTTATAATTCTAATGTAAAAATATTTTTCAAAACGCAATCTCAGTAAAGTTTTTTTCTTTAAAAAGAAATGCAGTATTTCTAGCTAAGTACTTATTGACATAAGTAAACCGTGACTAGTATTGTGCTTTTGGTTTTACAGATAAGGCAGTTTTTGCAAAATTATGTACGCTAAAAATAGCCTTAAACCATTTTTAACCCAGATTATATACATAATAATTGTTTATTTATATTATTTATATCTTAATTGAAATTAACAGAAATACGATGAAAACTATCAAAAGTACGGGTTGTCGCAGGTCTAGTCACAAGAGTAAATTATATATGTATTTACTATTGTAAATATTTGAAGGATTATTCAGCTCTGTATAAATTATCTTATTAATTACTCTTAATTTATATTTATTTGAAGTACACTAGAGTCCATGCCATTGCCAAACAGTGGAGACAGTTTTTTTATTGCTCTTTGTTTTTATATTTTCTGTAGCTAATAATCTCTACAGCGATTACTTTTCAACAAGAAAAAGAGCTGCCATTTCTTGAATAATTAAATAATACTCCTAATTGAATTGAACAAATGAATAATAATTCATTGTTTTTACTTTTTTTATTTCACAAATGTAATGTATCAAAAAGAAGTAACCTAAAATTTTAGCAACAGTTAAACCAGAAATGAGTATACCAGCCTTAGATTTGGTGAGCGATACCTTGGAAGTCGCAGCTAAATTAAATTCTTGGTATTTGTTGAAGACTCTGCACTGTAAATCATTTTTAATCACTTTCAGTTTTGTATAAAGATAAATACCATCAAGAGTTAAATACTTAATTCATTTGAAAAAATGTGCTAAATCGGACAAACTGAAGATTTGTATCACGTTGGTGTACAAAAGCAAAATGTAGAATGATTATTATTTATAAACGAAACTATCACTTCCTTTAAAAGTCCACTACCGCCTTACGGAAACAGTTTGATATACTGTAAAATAAAAATCACGTATGTACAAATATAGTCCAAAATATCAACTTTATGCAAATCATAGGTATAGTTAACGTTTCATACAAAATAAATTCTTGAATAGTAAATAGTAATAAGCTTTTCACAATCGCATTGTCTAAAGGGTTCATTCTTTTTATTATTATTATTTTTTTTTAATAAAAAACAGCCGATTAAGTCATCACTCTGAAATTTCTATTGACTGGTTTCTCCATTCACTGTTATATCTATTCATTGTGAGCATATTTTGGGTACGTTTAAAAATTTATATTATACAGCTCAAATTAATTAGCGGAACACTTTTTTGCCAAACTAGGACTTTTTCTAGGAAAACACAATAAAAATCAAACATGACAATGTTAAAAGTTACATTCTGTAGGTAAATAAGTTAGTGTAAACCATCTTGGTGGTGTTCAGCAGACTTGAGGAATCGTTGATAACATTTAGCGATTACAAAAATCAAAATGGGAAACTGTAATTTGTAGTGCTATACAGAAATTGAAACATCGTTTTTTGTCAAACGTTTGTCTTGTGACAATAAGTTATGCATCTAATACGACAGTAGCCTTGCTCGCATCGTGTTCACTAGCAGGAGAACTTCAAGGTAGCCTTTTAGAAATCCACAGAGCATGGAGTTGCTTCATGAGAGTCAGAAAAATGTTTAGACAAGGTCGTGAAAGGAAAAAAAGATGACAAGAACTGTTCCGCTAATTAATTTGAGCAGTGCATTAGCCGTTGAACATGATTTAACGCTCAATTTTGCCAAACTCTGTCCAGTCCAGTACCTATTATGGAATGTAAAATGTAATGCCTACTTACTGAGATTCAATACTTGCATGCTGAATTCGAGACAAGACTAATTAAAACTGTAAATTTAGTCGTAAAGTTTTAAATTTCATATTTATGTCATACGTTGTTTTAAACTAGAAAAAAAAGGTGATCAAAATTCAAGCAACATATGTAGACAAATCTTTGTTAGAAAATTTCGTTAATCATTTTAACATACTACAGGATCTCCAAACACTGAACGACGCTGCAAGTATTTAAGGCCTTCTAACTTTTCTAAATCAAAATATTTATATATGAGATAAGATATAAAAAAAGTAGACGACTAAAATTATAAAGCTCGGTGAGCAGCAGATACTGAAATTATTACTTTTTATGCATATTTACTTTGATTTGCAATATTACTTTTAATTAATTTTTCTTTCTATGCTTGCGCATTATTTTCAACTATACAACATGTTTTGTTTTTGAGGAACAATATACAACTTTTTTTATATATAAAATTATTTTTATTTTCAAACGTCATACAGGCTGTTATTGAAAGGTACGTACAACAAAATTTACAGTTCTTCGCGAGGTCTAAGAAATCTGAAAAACTTATTTTGTGTTATCAAAATTATAAGGGGAAAATTAACCCTTATCCAACCTTTTTAGACGCTACTGAAAGATAAATAGGTAAAGTTAATCTATTTTAATAAACCCTAGCAACTGTAACAATAAAACTTTTGTCAAGACTAAATGTTGCTATAGAAACGAGAGATGATGTTTTTATCAGAGGCGTACAACGAATTTAGACATAAATTTTAATAATTTTTATCTCTAAAAGGAGAACACTTTTACCTGAACTTTTTTTAACTTTTAGCACCCATACTTCGAGACCAATTGCCGATTTTATTTTGTACGTACCTTTTAATAACACGCTGTATAACTGACACTTATATGACGCTCTTACCGGGGTTTAAGTCTCATTTCTATGACACCGTGTTTGAGTGGCGTATAAGTACTACTTATACTCCGCCGGCGTATAAATAAAACATTTATACTCCGCCGGAGTATAAATATGTGAAAATCATAGTGGTTGTCAACCATAGTAACCATGGTAAGTGAAATCAAGGCAATTCGTTAATGAAGCAAGAAGATAGGAAATAATCATTTCAAACGAAGATTAATCGTTTGAAAATAAAATATTGTATTTCATTCGGAGTTTAAGTGACTTCATGTGACTCGTATGGACTTAATTCGCCTCGCTATCACTCGGCGTTTAATCGTCCATACTCGCCACATAAAGTATCACTTAAACTCCTAATAAAATAAATATCTATTATTTTTATACATTCTGATTATTCTCTTCATAAGCTTTACACACATATTTTATTTTTGAAATTGTTCATTTTTCTGGTATATTTGTAGTACTGCTAAATTTTATGGTTAAATAAACAAATTCACTTTATTGCTGTACTTATTCGCAAAATCGAGTCTTGAGCGCTGGGAGAAAAATCTGAAATACATGATGTTTATCAAATATCCATATATCATCAGTCTTTTCAAATAGGATGCCCTATATTTTGTTCTGCACTTTATTCTGTTCTTCATTATCTTTCTTCCTTGTTAAGTATTTTCTATGCTTAAGACTGAAGGTTTTTACGATTTTTCATTTTTTTAACAGCCCCCAAAATATCGAGATTTTTTGCTTACGACATGACTGTTCATCAAGTTTGCGTCTTTATAGATGTTATTTAGATCATCTACATCTTACTTAGGTGAATAGTAACATGATGCCTTGTAAGATGGCCTACGGGATCTTCTGATCAACAATAAAATTAGACCTCTTTTACGAGCTTATGCCAAAGAACTAGAGATGTACCGACTATAGTCGGCCGACTGTTCCGCTTTGCTAAAACCGGTTTATAAATGCAACAGACAGTGTGTTTTTTTTTTCTATTTCTCTGACTACCTTAAAAACTTGTTTTATTTTAATAAAAGGAATAACTAAAGTTTCTTTGTTTTCCAAAAAATGTGTTAAATTTGTTTGGATAATTTTAACATTTAATTTTTTGTAGTAACTCAGTACAAAAATAAAGAATAACACAATTTAGGGCAGTTTATACAATACTTAACCAACTTTAACCACTTTTTTGGAAAATTTTTGAAAATTTTGAATTCGCTTTGCGTGTTTATTGGACCAGATATCGTGACGGCGATTTCAGAATCGTAACTAGCGGAAGATTATCTACACTTTGGCACCAATTTTCGGTCGATTAAACCAATTTTAACCGGTTTTGACAAAGCCGACTAGTCGGCCGACTATAGTCGGTACATCTCTACAAAGAACATACGTCTTTCATCGTTGCTATCGGGAATCATCTCTTACGCATCACAAAAAATTTAGCGGTTGCAGCACACGTTTTTGTTTATTTATTGTCATAGTTTTCAAGTCACGATACGTTAAGAAGTAAAATTCTCGATATTATGAGATGTCCGTGAAAAAAATAATTAAAACTTTGGGTATGAACATAGTCAATAAGAAAAACGAGAAGAACAAAAAACATTACTGTAATAAAGTGCAGGATGTCATACCTGAAAAAAAATTGAGGGCTGAATATTTGAAATTTTACCATTTTAGTTTTTTTTTGTAAACTTTACATTAATAAAACTCAAGTCTATTTGCATTAGAATCAGGCGCACACCACTTTATCTATCCATCAAATATTGCAACACAATTTGCTAAAAATATATAATTGTACTGCGGTTTTGTCTGCAAACCTTTGCATTGTTAAAAAATTAGATAGATTGAAATAGCTTGGTAACGCCCCATCGGAATTTTAAAATGTGTATGCTTGCAAATTCTTAGAAGAGAACAATTAAGATATA